GGACTGGGCCTGGCATCGCCTCCCTTCCTGCAGCAGAGGCTGACAATGAGCCACTGCTTTCTCCGGGAAATGCTTCCTTCTGCCCAGCCTCTCCATCTGCTTCTGGAGAAAGGATGAAGTACAGCTGGAACAGGTGGGGCTGTTACCCACTGGGGAGGTGGCATCTTCAGGAGTCTTGTCAAAGTCATGGATAGGTTTCAGGAAATCAGATGGGCTTTGGTGTCTCTCCCGAAACCTCTCCCTCCTCCAATTAGCTGCCCCTCCTGATCTGCTCAGAGACTGGGAAATTGCAGGGGATCTCAGGGGGTGCCTGGCCCTGGTGGTGCAGTTTGGGCTGCGTGGCAGCTGGTGCCCAATGCCTTCCTGCAGAGGCTGGGGAGAAGCTGCAGCCAGGCCAGGCTGGGAAACAGCCCTGCAGGGCGTGGAAGCAGCAGCGGGACAGTGAGGCTGCCATGGATCCCTTCCTGCTGTGCCGGGCACGGCGTGTCCAGATGTGCAGCCAAAGCCCCCGGCTGCTGAGCCCCAGGACAAGGCTGAGGGAATGCACCCACCACGGTGTCTCTCCAGATCACTCAGCATCTGGTCCAGAAGTTCAGAAGGCTCCAGGGATTTTTTTTCTCCTTTAGCTTGGGTCTTTCCTTTTGGAGGACCTTAAGAGAAAGTAGTTCCATTTCCCATGAATGGATGCCACAAAAGCAGGGCTCAGCCTGTGGTGGAGTCAGCGGGGACACACTACTCACCCCTGTGATGGGAACTGGGCTTGCGTGCAGCATCCAGCCCAGGAGTTGGAAAATTCTGCTCTGCAGACACACCTGTAACTCAACAGCCACAGAAGCTTCTGTCCCCTGGTTCTTGCCAGGTTGACAATCATTTTTCTATGGAAAAACAGTGATATCTTACCTGTGTGAGGTCCCACTGGATCCAAACTATCTTCCAGCCAAGGTTCCAGAAAAACATTTCCAGCATCCCAATCTGAGGATGGGAACACAGATCAGAACCATTTCCATGGTAGCAACTGACAGAATGAGAGGACACAGTCTTAAGCTGTGCTAAGGGAAATATACGTTGGATATTAGGAAAAAGATTTTTACAGAAAGCGTCATAAAGTACTGGGATGGTTTGCCAGGGAGGTGGTGGAGTCATCATCCCTGGATGTGTTTTAAAAAAGACTGGAAGTGGCACTCAGTGTCATGGTGTATTTGAGGTGTTAGGGCTGGGTTGGACTTGATGATCTTGATGGTCTCTTTCAACCCAGTGATTCTGTGATTCATGGTGTGCTGGGATCCTCTTCTGCCTCTGGGAACCGGGCACTGAAAGGGGGATGGCTAAGGCTATTGGAGCCAGGTGTCAATGGACAAGGCCAAACTGCACAGGGGCCTGGGGAGCTCTGGGCTGGCTCCTGGCCACTCTCCACCCTCTTTGCAGGCCCTGTGACACATTCCTGGAGAGGAAACAGGGGCTGCCCAGGCCCAAGGGGGCTCTCTCCCTTCCCCAGAGGAAACCCTCCCTAAAGGCCTGGGGAAAACCATCCCCAGCGCTTCCCAGGGAGCAGGGAGCGCTGTCCCGGCAAAGGGGAGCCAGGCTGCCGGCTCACCTGCTCGCCGCGCTTGCAGCGGAGCAGCCTGGGCAGCCCTGGCAGGCAGGGCCACGGCCAGGAGGAGCAGGAGGAAGAGGCGCAGAGCAAGGGCCATGGTGCCTTGCCCTCTGCCAGTCCCGCAGCTCTTGCTGCCACCGCTGTCCTGACACCGCTGTCCCAATGCCAGCACCACTGCTGCCACCGCCGCTGCTGCTGCAACAGTTGTGCTCAAGGACTGACTGCTCGCTCCTCGTGCTGCTGTGCAACCACCGGGTCTGGGAACTCTGTGACCTCAGAGCCAACTGTGACCTCAGCCTGCTGTGATCCCTCAGCCTGCTGTGACCCCAGAGCCTTCTGTGACCTCAGAGCCTTCTCTGACCTTCAGGCTGGGGCAGGATTGTGTGGGATGGATCTCAAGATGTGCCCTTCTAGTGAGGAGAGCATGTCCTGCCAGGCAGCTGCATCCAATCTTTCAATCTTTTGGGATTTTGTTGGTTTTTTTTTTTTTTTACTAGAACTGAGTTATACGACAGTGGATATGTGAGATTTCATGGGTTTACATGCAATAGCCTTGTCAAGTCCAAAATTCAACTCACATTGGTGATTCCCAGTATTGCAGGCAGCACCAGCCCTGCCACACGACACTGCATGTGTGCTGTGTGCTCAGTGCTGGGTTTTTGGGCACGATTGACACGACAACTAGGCCCTGTCATCCCCAAAAGCAATGTCTGATCAGTGTGTGTGGACACAGGCAGGCTCATCCAGCTGTTCATGATTAAACCTGTCCAGTTACTGGGTTTTTTTCAGTCCTTAATCCATTGACTCTAATTTCCTAGTTGCTGTACAACACACGATGTATTTAAAGATGAGGAATGACTTATGTGGTTTCTGTACCTCTGGCTAAAAGCAGCACCCAAATAGTACTGTCTTGATAACTACTCAAGCCTTACAATGAAGTGTTTTTCTACATTACACAGAATTATCAGAGAAGCAAGGTGTTCCTGCATCACTCAAACTATTTTACTTATTATTTCCTTTGTAGATCATTTATTTGAGGGATGGAGGAACATGTTAGCTTCTTATCAAATAATCTAATTGAAGGCTCACTGTAGAGATTTAAATTTGAGCTTGAAAAAATCTGTACCCAGGAGAAAAGATAGTCATCCCAAATCTTTAAAGAACGTGCAGAAAGCATAAAGTAGATATGAATTTTTCCCTCTTTTCTTTTAGAAATCTGCACACTTTCTATTGTATAAGTGCTAACTCCCTACTAATTCAAAAATATATTGATTAGAAATCATAGCTGTTGATCAATACCTCACAGAGTCCTTACATATCAAAGTTATTATAATAAAAAAAATAGCAGTAAGATTCAGAAGTTTATTCCAAAATTATGTCTGAAAGGAGACACATCTGCCCTTTTCCGAGCAGCACTCCTGGCCAATACCGTGCGATAATTGCTCCCGGTCAGTTGTGCCGGTGAGCCAGCGCGGATCCGGGCAGTGTCGGAGCGAGCGCGGCCGCGGGCGGTTCCGCAGCGCTCGCAGCGCTCCCGGCCGGGCTCGCTCGGGGCTCCCACCCCATCTCGTGAGCCCCGGGGGAAGTGCAGCGGCACCGAGCGCTGCGGGCACCGGGCGCTGCGGGCACCGAGCGCTGCGGGCACCGAGCGCTGCGGGCACCGAGCGCTGCGGGCTCCGCGCTGCTCCTCTCCCTGCGCTCGGAAAAACAGGCAACATACACTCGGCATTACAGATAATACGCACTACAGCAGCCAGGCGCATTTACTTAATAAAGTTTTACCTCTACAAGATTAAAAACTGCATTTTAGCTGTTAAGGCATCATGATTTAGTTTGTTCAACGTGCAAAGCATCTGCCCTACCCAGTCAGTAGCTGGGTCATTGTTTAATCTGTTCATGGCTCTCATGACCACTACCAAGGCACACGTTCCCTTCCTGAATCTGGGATAAAAATTACTACTTTTGAAGTGAAGCAGGACACCAGACACACAAAAACTTCATCCTTCCAACTCTATAAACTTTAAAAAAAATTGTTAAGAACTGACAAGTTTCATTATTTAAAAAATTTCTCAAAAGAAAAAATTCTGACAAGAATACATTTTGCATTCCCACAGTTTTGTTTACTTCAATATTTGACACTGAATATCATTATATATATAGTTATATATAATTGTAAATATTATATTGAGTATTGTAGCCAATACTTTTATTTATTAGAATGAAAACCGATCCCAAAAGTCTTGTGAAAATTAAGAGACGTGGAAAACGAATGCTATGTTTGAAGTTCGATTTTAAACATAGCATTTCTCTCCCTGAGCTTGTATGAATCCCGAAGAGTGTGATCTTACAGACACACTAAGGAGCTGAAGGTCCACTTCTCCTCCTCTGAAAGGCTCTGATGCTCCCTGCAGACTCAGTGCATCCCCCATACTTTACAAAAATCAATCAGGAGTACAGCCAGAAAAGGTCATTTGGACCCTAGTGAGGTGGTGGTGTGCCTGCAGTGAGAGGATCACAGGAAATGGCCTTGAGCTGGGACAGAGGAGATTCAGATCAGATATTAGCAAAATGTTTTCACCGTTCGGGTGGTCAGGCATTGGAGGGGCTGGCTGCTCAGGGCAGTGGTGGAGTCACCACCCCTGGAGGTGTGCCAAAGGTGTCTGGGTGTGGCGCTGGGTGCTTTAGGGGTGACAGAGTCAGTGATGGGTGACATTAAAGGGCTTTTCCACTCTTGATTCCACGATTCTGTGCGATGGGCCACGGGGAGGCCAAGGCCCCTGAGCCTAGTAATAGTGCTAATGCCGCACCCAACGCCCGAGGGGCCCGGGCCGAGCCGCGGGGCAGACACGGGCAGGGCAGGGCAGGGCAGGGCCGGGCCGGGCCGGGCCGGGCCGCGGGGCTCACCCCCGGCAGGGCCGGGCAGGGCCGGGCAGGGCCGAGGTGGACGCGGCGAAAGGCGGGCGCGGCCCGCGGCCACCGGGGGCGCCATTACGGCACCACCGTGAAACGCGCCCGAAATAAATGGCGGACGGGGGCGGAGCCCTGTTCATAGCGGACCAATGAAGAGCTACATTCCCGGGCGGGGGCGGGACTTTGCGGCCCCACAGCCAATGTGCACGGGAGGCGGCGGGTGATGGACGGGCGGGCGGCGGCTGCGGCGGGCGGGGCGCAGCGCCCTTCCCGTGGTGCCGCGGGAGCGGCGGCCGCAGCGGCCGCGACTTCATCCGGGTCCCGCAAGTACCGGGACGGCGGGGCCGGGCGGTGGCCGCGGGACTGGGGGGGGGGGGGCGTGGGAGCGGCCGCGGTATCGGGGCGCGCCGGAGAGAGGGTGGGAGCGGAGGGCCCGAGCCGGAGGGCCTGTACGGGCGGGCGCGGGGCCTCGGCCCGGCCTCTCCGCCGCCTCTGCCGCGGGCCCGGTTCATTGTCCTTATTCCCCTCATCGATGCCTTTTTCCCTCGTTCTCCCCCGCTCTCCTCCAGGCTCACTGGAAGGTCCGGAAGTGCCGCCCCCGGGAGCCGCCGGCGCCAGGTACGTCACTGCCGGGGCCGGGGGGACCTTGGCCGGGGGAGCCCCCCTGGTACCGGGGCCGGGCGGGGCTCAGCCCTGCTCGAGCACCGAGAGGATGGCAGCGGGGTCTGAGCTCGGAGCGAGGGGCGAAACGTGAAGAAAATCCCTTAGGAAGTAGGTGGAAGTGCTTTGGCGGCCCAGCCCCTGTCAGGGGGCACGGGGGCTGCGCGGGGCTATCGTTCGTGGCCAGCACCATTGCCTGGCGTGGGGCTGCGCCTGCCGGGCCCATCGCCGCCGGCGCCTCCCGCCGCATCCTCGCGAGCGGCCTGGCCTGGAAGCAGCTCGGGAGCGGCGGCACCGCGGCCGGTGCGGCCCTGCCCGGCAGTCTGTGGGGTGACACGGGCACATCGCAGCCAGGGCCGCTCACGGTGGGCTCGGGGCTGGCTGCACGCCTGAGCAGCAGCACCCCGGTGGAATAGGGATGCCCTGTGTAACACGTACCTGCAGTTCCTGGCAGGAGCTCTGGCTGGCCTCTGGGCGTTGCAGGAGTGGCTCTTGCCTTTGGCATGGGTAGCTCAGCCCCCGGGCCAGCTCAGGGCTCAGCATGTATGGGTTCTCTTGCAGGGCTGGTGGTGGCACAGAGCAGGGTCCGGCCCTGGCATGCCGCAGTTGCTGCTGGTGACTTTATTCTGGCACAGTTCACTCTGTTTTAGATGGAGGTGTTACCCCATCAAATTGTGGTTTCGTGATTTTACGTTGTCACTTTCCATGAGAGTGACTGAAAGAGGCTGCCCAAGGAGTGGAGACATCTCCAGACTCCTCTCTGGAGACATTCCAAACCCACTTGGATAAATTCCTGTGTCACCTGCTCTGAGTGACCCTGCCTTGGCAGGGGGTTGGACTGGATGATTTCCAGAGGTCCCTTCCAGCCTTAATAATTCTGTGATTTATTTCAGGAGTGAAAGCTCAACCTGATGATCAAGGTCAGGATAATCCTTGTTTAGTGATGTGCCTGTCCCACCTTGTTGGTGCTGCTCTCTGTGTACTGTTCTGCACAGGCAGTTTTGTGACTGAAGTGCGTAATTGGCAGGGAAAACTTGCTCCCATTCAAATTGTACACAGCGACAATGCTCAATAGCAGCAGTGGGGCAAATTAAATCCATCACAGAATTTTTGAGAAAATCAATCTGTCCCTTCAAAAGCAATAACTTAAATAATATTTAAGAAACAGAGCATCTTCAAACATCCCCAGCTGCCAGGGACTTCACAAACAGTTTGCGGTGGCTTCTGATGTCAAATTTGACCAGTTCTGTTCACAGCAACCCTCAGATGTTTAATAGTCTGAACTTCCAGGAAGTTTTTTGCAGTGGTGGTTGAACCTTGTGGCAGTCAACATGCAATAATGGCCTAATGAGGGTTTTTTTTTGCCCTATGATAGTTAGCTTCATGAAGAGGGACCTAGTAAATAGCTGTATTGTGATATTTTTAATGAACATTTGCTGGCTGTGATTTTTTTCCACCGAGTTTTTTCCAAGTTGTACTCTGCGTATCTTATGTGCAACCTCAAATCACACAGGTTATGTTAGGAAATGATTTTGCATACTAATACTGGAGATTTAGTACTTCCTTAGTCTAAAGGAAGTTTAGATAAAACATAGGTTCACTTGCTTTGTTTTCCTACTGCACTGAGCTGTATCCTTACTTCACTTTCCTTTTGATAAATGTCTTCTGTATTTTCCTCTGTTTTCAGTGGTGGAAAACATCAGTTCATTTGCAAATAGTGAAAGGCTCCCAGGACATAGAGAGGGTAATAGATGGTTGTTTATATTGCCAATTAATAACATAACACAGCAGTCTTGAAATATTTTTGTACACTAACTTTCTTGCTGAATTTGTGTAATTGTTATCATATGTAAACTTTTTACAGAAAAAACCTACTTCCTCCTAGCATGTTCTAGGAGACATAAATCTAGTGAATAAATACACAGTTGTTTATTTCATATATATATATATGTATGTATACACATATATATATATGTATGTATACACATATATATATATATATATATGTATATATGTATATATACACACACATTTATGTTTGAAGCAGGGCCAGATAACCAAACTGATGCTTTCCTTTGAGAAGGGCACTGAGGCCTTTGTAATGTTTGAGGCTGAATATATATATTTATTTATTTATAAAGATCTCCCTCTGTGTGATCTGAGAGAGGAGTATTCAAAGAGGAGTAGAAAATGTGATCATTTTGGTGTAGTCATTCTCAGACCTTCCTGAGATTTCCAGCAGCACTGTGCAGTGCTGTGGCACATGCACCACTTGGATGCAGAGAGTTTAGTACTATTGCCATAAAACCAAGTGTGTCCAGGGAGGGAGGCCAGGATTTGTGTTCTGTGTTCATAGCAGAGATCGTTAATTGTGCTCACAGACTTTACTTTTCCACAGGGGATGGGCTTCACTCTGTGCTTGAGTGGGCAGTGGTGACTTCCCATTTCTCTCAGGCCACAGTTTCTGGATGTTTATATTCCATCGGTAACTGCATGGTTAGAAAAATAAATTGAAACCAAACACACTAATTGAAAATGTAGCACAACAGTAATATCTTGTGATAATTACTTTAAGCCATAATGTTCTGTGTTAATTAAATGCAAGTGGGGTAGAGATTTTGGAAAAACCCCTGTATTTCCAATTGAGGCAGCAGACAAAGGCATTATTGGTAGCAGTCAGTGCTATTAATCTTAATGTTATGTAAAAAATACCAAAAAATACCATTGTGGACACCTATTCTTGTCTGGGTTTGTGGACTGTGGTGCTGCCCAAGAGCACATCTGTGCATTTTTATGTGGTGGATCTGCTTGTTCTCCTTTTCTCCTCACTCCAATTTCCCAGTACAGGGCAGCTTTCTGGTGTGATGTACTCTTGCTCCAGCATATTGCTGTTCAGTGGGCTGGCAGGTCCAAAAGGAGCTAATAAATGTTTCCATTTTGGGTCTGCATAGGGGAAGAAGAGGTGCCTGGGCTTGAGCTGGGAGATGTTACCTTCAGATTAGCACATGATTAAGACAAAGGAAGGTACAATCCAAAACTGAATATGGAAGAGGAAACATTTTTAGTTTATGCTGAAACTTTTGTATCAGTCACTATCTGATTTTGCTGAGCTTGTTTTGGGAAGAGGGGCTGAGATGTGCCTGTTGCACTGCAGGGGTGGGTGAGTAGAGTGAGGGGAAGTGGTATCAGGAATAGTTGAGTTTATATTAATTGTGCTGCTCCCTTTCTTCCTGGAGTTGTGCACTCCAGTCACACAAAAACCCCATGGAAAAAGCACTTGAGGCAGGAGCCTGCATCAGTCACTTGGGATGCTCAGCACAGCTGGAGAAGGCAGTACACATTCACTCAGCAAGCTCCTGGGATTCAGGAAGTGTGGTTTCAGTGCAGGGAGTGCTGCTGGAATCCAGGAGTAAAACTGGGGAATTGGTGTTGGAGCTGTTGTGTAAATCCCGGAGCTCCATCGTGTGGTGGGAGCTGTGCAGCCAGAGCTGCAGCCTTGGGAGCTGCAGCTGCTGAGATTGTCCAGCTCCACAGTTGGAGTCACTTTGTCCCCTTGCACTGCTCTGGGGATTTTAAACACGTGCTGGAAGGAAAAGCAGCCCTTGGGAACCTGGCTTTTTTAACGGGGAAAGCAGATGACTCAGGGATTGTTTAAAGCTTGTCTCTCACAACGTGTTGTGCTGAAAGAGTGAATATGCAGGTGCATGACCCTGAGCTCCTGTGCTGCACTTGCTGTGACATCACCAGCACGGTGACATCAGCAGCAGGGAGCTTCTGCAGCTCTGGATTCAGTGGGGATGAGAGCACACCAGCTCAGTAGAGGCTGTGCCAGCAGGATAATTTGTCAGGCTTCCCTGCTGCTGTGAGTTTCAGAACCCCCTGATGCATGGTGTGAGAGAAGCAGCCCCCAAGGGGACCTGGCAGATCTCACCTGTCCAAGAACATGGCAACTTTGGTGATGCAACTTGGAAAGACTGTTAGAAATAATCCACAAGTTTAAAATGTCCCAAAATGCAGGATTAATGTTAAGGAGAATACCAAAAATAAAAGTTGTTTGATACATGTCAAGTTGGTTAGGTTTGCAGCTAAGCTTTGTCCAAAAGTGGAGAAATGAAACAGATTGATTTCTAGGTTTATTGTAATCCTTATGTCTTTCAGGCTTAATTTGAAAAAGAAATGCAGAAGCATTGCCGTACATTTTGTAGAATTTAAACAGGTGTGTAACACCCATCCAGGTTTTCAATGTGCTTTGAACATTTTCAGTACATCACAGGGCCATCAGCTTCAGACACTGAACGTGGGACTTCGTTAACTTCCTGGGGTCACTGTCCAACTGAAGGTGCAGAGCTGGTGCTGTGCAGTTCAGTTCCAGGCCAGGGTGCCTTTCCTGCTGAAGAATGGGAATTCACAGGGATTCTGCTCAGCTGTGAAGGCTGGGATGCAGGAGCAGGAAGCTGAAAGCAATGTCAGCTTCCCTGCCGAACGTCAGCTCTGCCAGAACTGATTGAAAAGGATGTGATGGGGGCCAGTGCTCTGTAAAGGTTTGACTCTGGCCCAGAGCTGCTGTTCTGATTTATTCCTGCTTTGGCATCAGGACCAAGTACTTGTGGCCACGCTGAAGTTTATTTTCTGGTAGATGTGTAAGTTAGCAAAAGCACATAATAGGATTTATACCAGTTACAAATGAGATTTTAAGGTTGATTCACCCAAATTTGTCATCACTGTTTGTATAAAGGATTTTGTAGTAAGGCACTGAGGGGGCTGGAAAGTAATTTGATTTTGTGTCTGTCCAAGGAATAACGTCATCCCTTTGTGTGAGCGCACGGGATCACGCGCTGTGTGCTTGGCAAGGACACCAGCGGGCATGAGGGTGCTCTTGTTCTGTGCAGGCTTTGTTTGGAGAGTGGGCTGGAAACTGCAGGCTGCAACTGGGATCAAGTACTAGTGAAATGTATTGAATGTTTTAAAAACTGCTTTTCTCTAAACATTTTCAGCTATTTTATAGACTACCTGGACAAACAGTTGTTTTCCTTTCCAGCCCTGTTCTTCATAGCAAACTGTCCTTGCTACAAAGGGAATTCTGAGTCACACATCTGTCTGGCCAGTGTTTTCATTTCAGTATTCAAAGATGATGTTGAGCTGTGCTAATGTGGAAATTGGCTTTAAAGTTACATCAGAGGCAGTTAGAGAAACTCAGACTTCTTTCTGATGGGAAAACATGTCTTTTCAGTGGCCTTTTGGTAAGGCAGTTTAACAACTAAATGTCAGGATAGAGTCCACAATCTTATTGAGTTTTGTTTCTAATAAAAGAATTCCTCTGCACAAGGCTTAATGTAATTTAAGACTAGCAGAAAAAGCTCCAAGCAGTACTTTGGGCAATGCATGATTTTTTTTTTAGCTATTGGTGCAATAGGTGAAAAGGTCACTCTATGTAATAATATTTTTTGATCAGGATTACAAATATTAGGGCCTCATCCTCATCTGTATAAATCAGTCACATAGTTGTGGTCCTAGATTGCATTATTTTTAAGTTCTTAAGAGGAAGAAATGTGTGTCTGCTTACAGTGTTGCTGAGAGCCTTTTCTTCTGATTTCAGGTGAGAAGTAACACCTGTGGAACACAACTGGTAATTCAACAGAAGTTTAATGACTGTAGTTGCTATGACTGCTACAGCTTGCTTACTTAAGACCCAGGCAATTGGTAAAATTTTGAAATTGGGAAACCTTATTTTTAAAATAACTTCCTTCTTGACTAGGGGGAGCAAGGGGAAAGCTTTTTCTTTGGTGAGTATTATAAATGCTGTCTGCAGCTAGCCTGACTTGACTTGACTGAAGCAGCAATCCTGCCCCAGCTCTGAAGATGCCTGCACTGTGGGATGAGGTAGTAGGTTGTATAGTTTTAGGGTCATACCCACCACTGGGAGATAACTATACAATCTACTGTCTTTCCTAAAGCAGCAGATAATCAACAATGGAAACTTCTCACTTTTAAGCTCAATGTCAGACTTGGCTGAACTTCTGTACTTGTAGTGCTTATGACAGGACAAAATACTTGTTTAATAGCTGTGGGAATTGTGTTTAGATTTTTCTAGTTCTTGCAAAAGCTAGTTTTCATTCTGCATTAATTTTTCTGCCCTAATGAGTAAAAAGTTAAGAATAGATTATTCCTGTATGTGTATGGTGGGGTAATCAAATACAAATTTCTGGTGTTTTAGTTGTTGGGGTGTTGTAGCAAACATCCTTCAGAATGAAACTAAGGTTGGCTGCTGAGCTCTTGCTGAAGTCTGTGCTTCTCTGTCAGAGTGAGGTAGTAGATTGTATAGTTGTAGGGTAGTTATTTTACCCTGTTCAGGAGATAACTATACAATCTATTGCCTTCCCTGAGGAGTAAAACAAACTGCGCTCCCTTGCAGCCAGTCCTGGGCTAAAAGCACTCCTGCTGTGAAACCAGATGAATTCAGGGTTGGAAAGCAGCAGTGCCAGAATCTACAGGACTGACAGTCAGTGTGAATGGTGCAACCCCCACAGGATATCCTTGACTTAACATAACTTTGCTCCCAAGGTGAGTGGCACAGTGCTGGCTGGGGATGGAAAATGCCCATGCTTTAGGTAGAGGGCAGAACACTGTACAGAGGGCAGTTATTGCAAGCCACTTAGGAGAACGTAAAATACAGGGAGCTCAGGCTTGTGCATTGTGACTTCAACTCTTCTGGCACCCCAATTTCCATAATGCATTAAAATTCTGTGACTCCCAACTGCTTGGTAGAAGTTGGAGGGAAAACTTAAAATTACCCTTTATTAATAAGTCTGCATGTTTTTCTGCAGCTTTTCCAGATCTAATGCAAAATTTAAGTGTTGGCCAATTTTAGCCAAAACTGACCTCTCACCTTTCTGGGGTGGTGTGAAGCTATGGAGTTTGAGCATCCAAGAACCAGAACTTTTCTCTGAGGTGGTATTGTTCCTGTAAAAAGACTTTTAAAGTTTATTGCATTCTCTTTCCTCCTGCTGTGCTTGGTGTACCCAGTCTGTAACTGGTTCTGTGCTAGATGCCCCGCAAGCAGCTTGCTGTAGTTAACAAAAAACCCCACAGAAATAAATGCTTTTTGGGATGGGAAGTTCAGCTTAGGCAGAGTGAAAATGGAGCCATTGGTGAGTGTTCCAGGCAGTGAGCCACTGTTTGTCAGTGCTGACAGTGTCACCTCGGAGTGTGTGCCCAGCCAGGGCAGAAGAGCAGAGCAGCTGGGGAGCTAAAGTCCTGCAGAGAGTGAAGAACTGCACAGAGGAAGCGTGGGGCTCCTAGGAAGAGGTAGTAGGTTGCATAGTTTTAGGGCAGGGATTTTGCTCACAAGGAGGTAACTATACAACCTGCTGCCTTTCTTAGGGCTTTGTTATAACACCAGGACCTTTTGGGCTCCAGCCTGCAAACCTCTGCAGCTTTGGGACATGGAGAGAAAGCACAAGGTATTTCTAAGTGTGCTGAGGCTTAATGAAAACTGTGTCTTGGCCGATTTGGTCTGCAGTGGAAGTGCAGGAATGCTGGCTGGAATGCAGCGTGGTGACATTGGGGACACTGGGCTGTGGTGAGTAAGAGGCTGTGCTGGGAAGGCAGCTCCTTCCAGAGTAAGCTGGAGGCCCTGAGGTTAGGGTGGAGGTGGTGTGAGCTTCTGAACGTCAAGGTACTGGTACTGTGTGCTCACAGGGAGCTGAAATACACCTTCCTTTGGCATGGTGCATTTCAAGTGGAAAAACTGCAGCTTTCCTTCCCCAAAAGTATCAGATTCCAGCTCCCCTGAAAGCTGGTGCTTTCTCAGCAGGCATGGGCACTCAGGGTGAAACAAGCTCTCAGTGGTGCATTATTTACCGTGCTGCAGGAGGGAAGTTTCCAGTTAAAAATGGTGGTGTGGTTTCTCATGGAATTGTTAAAAATCAGTCCATGCTTTTTGATGTAATTGCAGTGCACCACAGCAATAGTTCTGGTAGGGCTCTGGCTGGGCACTGTTCTTTGGGATACTGTGATGTCAATTCTGAGCACCTTGCAGCATTAATGTACTGGGCTCACACCAGCCACTCTTTAAATTGCAAATCAGACACAGTCCTAGTTTATAAACATGTTGAGTATTGCTTATGTTGAACATTTTGTGTGAATTTAACTGTACTTTTTTGATTTAGTTAATAAAATACAGCATTTTGTGCAAGTGATGGTGAATTGCCTTTACTTTCTCCTAAATGAAGATGTGAATTTTAGAAAAAAAAACAGTGCCCACACTGAAATAAACTCAAGGCCATGTTTGGTCTTCACTATAATTCCAACACTAATTGTATGTTAATTATCCTAGTATTAACTTCTGTTAAACATCTTTGGTACAAGTCTTCACTGCTTGGGTGGGGAACATTTATTTACTGCTGAATGTGCAGGAGCTCTGCTTATTCCAGACCTGGTTTCTGACCAGATGTTTAAATTGCTGCATAAAAATCTTGACTAGTCCTAACATATTTGCAGCTGGTAAGGTATCTACAGGTAAGGCTCAGGCAGAGAAACACCAGTAAGTTTGATTTTGGCAGTACCAAATGCCGTAAAAGCTTTAATATACCTAACATTTTATAGATATAAGTGGTATGCTTACAAAAGCTTTAAGTCATCTGCTGCCCACTGCAGCTGCTGGTTCAGCAGTCTTGTCTCACCAGGTAATTTCTCACCTTGATGTGTCTGTGGATTCCACCCAGTGGGTGGGAGCTGCACAGCGGGCTCAGGGTTGGTTTGCCTTTCCCATGTGTGTATTCCAAGGGGTGCAAGGATGAGGTGACAGCATGCCAAGAGCCCTTGTAACACAGGCAGTGGTGAAAGAATGCTCAGCAAGCAGTGCAGGAAGGGCTGCAGCAGCAGTGGGGACTTGTTTACCACCCATAGTGCAGTGATTGTGTCATGGTGGTCTTGGAAACATTCCAGTATTGCTCCAAAAATAGAATACACAGCCCCAGCCCAGATCCACATCCCAGGAGAGTGATTTGTGTGCTGTGCTCTTCCATGCAGAAAGGTGTGCTCTGAATTCCTCCTGTAGTGTGAAACCTGAGACCTGTTGGGCTTTTTCTGGGGGAGAAACCACTGCTAATGAACATCCCTGTGCCTGCAGAGGGGCTCTGGCTGCTCGTGCCATGGTCATGGTAGGGGAACCTGATGCATTAAAAATTCAATCCTTTTGTTGAGAACTTGGGGTGTGGCAGCTTAGAGTTTCCCATATAGGAGGGATGTGGAACTGCTGGAGAGGGGTGCAGAGGAGTCCCTGGACCAGCTCCCAGGGCTGGAGCCCCTCTGGAGCCAGGCTGGGAGAGCTGGGGGTGCTCACCTGGAGAGGAGAAGCTCCAGGGAGAGCTCAGAGCCCCTGGCAGGGCCTGAAGGGGCTCCAGGAGAGCTGCAGAGGGACTGGGGACAAGGGATGGAGAGACAGGACACAGGGAATGGCTCCCACTGCCAGAGGGCAGGGATGGATGGGATAGTAGATACTGGCAGTGCTGGGTTAATGGTTGGATTCTATCAAAGGGCCTTTTCCAACCTGAAAGATTCTGTGACATCTTTATGCCAAAAAGTCCTTGCTCTGTCTCTGGGTAAGCAGCAAGTTGGACTTTCACAGGTGCAGATAGGTTTTTGCTTTACAAGACAAATGATAAAATGCCTGATACATATGCAAGGGGAAAACAAAAACCATTGAAAGAGAGGAAGACAAGTCTCAGATACACTGGTCAAGAGACAAGTTCAGCTAAGATTATTGCTTTCACCTGAGCCTCCCAAAGGAACAGACATCCCTCAATTCTAGAGCCATCAGAGCATGGTGTGGCCTCCAGCCCCCAAGCTGAAGCTGTGAATTTAATGTCATAGTTCTGTAAAGATGAGTCCTGGCAGGAGCTACTGGAGGCATCAGATGTCAGTGTGTGTGTTGTTGCAACACGAGAAATCAGATTTGTTCTTATTTTTTCTATTGGTTGTAGTGGAATTGGATTTTTAGGCTGGTTTGTTTCAGACACTTGAAACCACTCCAGTGAAGAGGCATTGGAAAATCAGACACTGTTCTCTTCCAGCCTGTTGTACTAAAGCAATCTTCAAAATAAAGCTATTACAAGCCACATAATGCTACTAAGGACTGTATTTTTGGCAACTGAAAAGGTCCTTTCTGAAATAGGAGAATGTTTCTGAAAAAAATACTCCTTTGACATTAAAACTCTCCATACAGATGATGTTGAGCTGGTTAGTTAAACCCAGCACAACATAAAAGCAGGGAAAGGATCAAGTCATGGAAGTCCCAGTTCTATGAGAGAGTTTGCTACTCCCTGTGTGCCTCACCTTATGTGTTGACAGCCCTTAGTACACTCCCAACAACTCTGTGTAAATGAAGGGAAAGGAGCAACCAGTGGTCAATCCCAGTGTCCCAAAATGCTGTCACACATTAACCCTTATTCTCAGTGGCTTCTGCAGTAGCTCCCTGGAATGAGGAGGGATAAGGAAGAAAAGGAGAGGTGCAATTTGAATTTCCCGACTCCCACTGTGCTGCTGAAGCCCTTGGTCCTGGTACAAAACACTGAAGGGCTGATGCTGAAAGAGCAGCCAGAGCCTTCCCTCGATGTCTGTGTGCAGAGAGCGAGGCTGAGGCTGTTCTCAGAGCCTGGTGGAATTAATTCCTGATGGGTTCTTCATCAGCTGCCCAGCACTGCTCCAGTTGCCTCTGTGCTGCAAGGAAAGGGATGCACAGACACCACTGCAGCTCTTCCTCAGTTTGGAGCAAACCTCATCAGACCAGTGGAGAAACCTCCAGGTAAGTGACATAGGTGGAACAGGAGGCCTGAGAGTGACTAAGGAGTGTGAAATAAGCAGAATACACGAGTGTCTGAGGGATGCAAAGGCAGGAAATAGGATTCTTGTCAAAGGCTGGTACAAGTTCCAGCTGACTGTCACACAGAGGTGCAATGAAATATGTGCAGAGAGCTGAAGTGGGTGCAGTGCCAGGGAGCAGCTCTGCTGAGCTGTCCTTTGACAGGAACAGACGTGTTTAAACCTGGGTTCAGCTGAGCAAGGGAAATCCTTCCCTTAATCTCAGGGCAGGATTTCATTTTGAACTCGGAATCATTCACAGAAACTTGAATATCCCCAGCTGGAAAGGACTCCTGTGGATTATTGAGTCCTGCTCCTGGGCCTGCACAGGAGACCCCAAGAATCCCACCCTGTGCCTGAGGGTGTTGTCCAAACACTTGATTGAAATAAAGCATACAATTAACTCATTACATTAATTAACATATTAAGAGAAGACTCAGCTAAAATACTAATTATTAAGTATTCTTAATTATATTAACATACTATAAAATATTGTAAAATAAAATTATTAGAATAATGATTAGCTTTTAATAGGTTATTAGGTGTTGTTTTTGGTTTTGTTTTTTTTTTTAATCTACTCAGAGCTAGGAGAGGCTTGTTGTTGGCTGAGTGGGCAGCAGGAAGGTGTGGATGTGGGAAATGCCCTGGGCACTTTTCCAGGGGCCCTGGGCCAGCTCTCAGGGCAGAGGCTGCTGGCCCTTGCTGCAGCACTGGTGGCAAACAGAATGCTTTGAGGAGCTTGGCCATGTCTGCTTAGCCCAGCCATGAAGAGAAAGATGCTATTAGCACACTGAGGGATACAGGAGTTAATTAATACCATATCACAGAATCCCAGAAATGTTTGGGTTGGAAAGGACCTTAGAGCTCATCTTGTTCCACCCCTGCCATGGGCAGGGACACCTGCCATAAACCAGGCTGTTTGTTTATTCATTGTGAAGTGAATTAGACCATATGAAAACTTCCAAAGCATTTAAAGTATATTTCTGAGGTGCATGATAGATTTTTTACTCTTAATAAAATACCTGTTTTCTGTTTCACATTTCAACCCTGGCAAAACCTGTGTTCCCACTGGATTGCCATGACTCAGTGACACTCCCCTGTCTTGCAGAAAATCTGAAATGGGGCCAAGAAATTCCAGTATTACCTTCTTAAAGAAAAAATGCCCACTAAACTGCTTGTCCTTCAAATCCCATTCAGTGACCACAGTGTTGTATTTCAAGCAGGGCCAATTCAGGAGTTTTCCTTTAAACTGCTCTTAAAATGTAGGAACTAAAAATCACAGAATATCGTGAGTTGGAAGGGAAGCACGAGGATCATTGAGTTCAGCTCCTGGCCCAGCACAGGACAGCCCAGCAATCCCACCCTCCCCAGCTCCCCTCTGTGCCCTTTCCTTTGGTTTCAGGAGCAGCACTGTGCTCCTGTGAAACTCAGAGCCTGTGTCTGGGTGAGGATGCAGCCCAGCTGTGCACAGAGCCTTCTCTGCCCATTCCTGTCACTGTTGGCTCCCACAGGGATATCCCAGGGACTTTCAGACTCCACTGAGTTGCAGCTCTGACAGCAGCCAAATCCAAGCTGCTCTGGAACTCTGGTTATTGATTTTAGGGTGACTGGTGGGGAGTGCAAGTGCTCAGGAATTATTCTCCAGAAATCAAAGTCAGAAGTGCTGATCAGTGAATTCAATACTGAACAGGGTGTTTCACTTAGTGGAGAGCAGCACTGAGCTGATCACTGTGTCATCTCTCTCCAGTCCAAGCACAGTTCTCTCCATCAAAATTGGCAATGGAAAATAGTCCAATGCTGCTTTTAGATTTAGAACAAATTCTGTTACTGGATGACAACAAAACATCTCCTGTGCACCTCTGCTCTGGAGCCAGACTGGGAGAGCTGGGGGTGCTCACCTGGAAAGGAGAAGCTCCAGGGAGAGCTCAGAGCCCCTGGCAGGGCCTGAAGGGGCTCCAGGAGAGCTGCAGAGGGACTGGGGACAAGGGATGGAGGGACAGGACACAGGGAATGGCTCCCACTGCCAGAGGGCAGGGATGGATGGGAGATTGGGCAGGAATTCCTCTCTGTGAGGGTGGTGAGGCCCTGGCATGGGTTTGGATGCTCATTTTCAAGCACCAAACACGTTCATTGTCAGACAGATAAGCCATGACAAGTGTTTTTCCTACAATAAAATAAAACAATACAACATGAAATGGAGCTGGAAGGTCTGGGTGCCCAGCAGCTCTGCTTGGCAGGGTTTGAAGCTGTGGAGCTGTCCCAGGAGAGCAGCCCAGTGCCCTTTGGCCAGGGCAGCTCTGAGCTCTGGTCGTGACTGCCCGAGGGAGGGTTCCT